AACCCAGTATCTTGTCTCTGTATCGTCTGTTGTGCTTCGTGCCTGATGACCAAGCTGGAGAGAAGGCTGACCATGGTCTTCAGCTCCTGTACCTCCGCCTGCTGCGCCTCCTCGTCCTGGGCCGTCTGTTGATGGCGTCCTCGAGTTGGTGGTCTGTTGCCTTGGCTCGAGGAATTGTCGGATGGATGAGGTGCTACCGGCTTCTGGCGTCGGCCCTTGCCTTGTTGCCCGCCTTTTTGGCTTGCTCGTGGCCATTTGGGTGGGCGCGTGTCCAGCCTGGGCGTGGGGGTCTCCTTGTCCGAGTAGATGGAGAAGTCCATTGGCATGACGGACCTGAGGGTGTTGAGCTCCTGCGTGGCCATCATCAGCTCGGAGGGTGTCGTCTGCTCTTGCCGCTCGAACATGGCCCTCAAGAGTAGAGGTGGAGGCCCCGGTAACCGTAGTCGCCTTTCCCCTAGCAATCCTGCGGTGGAGGTAGACACCATTGAAGACACCTATGCACGCCCTCAAATGAGCATCTTTGCGTTTATATTCCTGCCCACAGAATTGACAAGGATTGAGTATACTGAGCTTGCTCGCTTTGATTTCTTGAATGCAGGACTGGATCAGCTCTGTGCATTCAGGGTGTTTCTTGGCCATGTGCCGGCGGACGTACTGGGGTGAGGTGCACCAATGGTTGCATTCAAGGCAGTAGTTATGCTTAGCTCGCACAGCCGGCAACAAGGCTAGGGACTGCCAACTGCAGTCTCTGGCATGCTCAAGTACCTCCGGGGCATGGATAACTGCGTCGGTGAGCAAGGGGATCACTTGCTGCTGTGTTTCTGCACTGCTGTAGAGGACTGGTAGAAATTCACAGCTGCGCGAGTTGACATGGTAGTTGAACGCATGCCAGGTACTGAACTCGTGTAAGCAGTGCTTGCACTTAGGCATGCCGTCAAGGGCGTGCGCCATCTCAGCCCCTTGGATGGAGCCCTGAACTTCTTGATCTCGTTGTTGTTGCTGGGCTTCGTCCATATGAGTCGTGTAGACAGGTCTGCGTAGAGCGGCTTGGGTGGAGAAGCCTTGCCCACACTCAGCGCAGCAGAACGTCTCATGTAATACTTTCTCAACAGGTTGTGGGGTAGCACGCTGGGTTTCTGCTGAGAGTGGGTCTCGCGAGGCCCAGCAACCAACACTGTTAAAGAGGTGCCCTCTCACAACTGTGCGCCATTGAAGCTGCGCCTCACTCGGGCCTAGGGATGGCGAGAGCCATTGATCAAGTTGCTCCCTTTGGGTGAGGGCATTCTGTAAGCGCTGGGCAGGGTCCGTCAACTTGAGCCTTTTGACGAAGTCCACATTCGTCTCCTTCGTCAGCATGCTGTGCGAGTGAGAAATGGATCTGGCCTGCTTGATCAGCTGAGTTTGGATCAGATGGAGTTCCTTGAAAGGGAGGCGCCTGTGCTATCCAGGGCGTGCAGCAGCACGGGCCACACACATCCCTGCCATAGTTGTAGGCGAAGCTTTAAGGGAACTGATCTGCTTCTGGCCAGGGTCATTCTGTGCTTGACTGTAGCTTGTTCGAATTTTCTGTATCCAATCACTGCACCCAGATAGACATGTTCCGATACCACCTTTAAGTAGATCGGTTGGCCTTGTACCAGGAAGCGAAAGCACCGGCCCTGGGGTCGCTGGACCGTGTACCGGTCCAACGCTCTGGCCGCCTGGGCTCCTTGGAGCTCTAGGATCACTACCGTCTTGTCCGGGCTGATTGTAAGGCCATGGCTGGCGAGGAACGTGAGGATGTACTTCATCGCCCGGTAGGCCTTCTCCAGATCTGGACCTTCGTGGATGGTCCAGGCATAATGGAGGTCATCTGCATAGCTGGTGTTGGACCTCTGGACATCCAGGATCTCAGGGTCATGCATTCGTTTGAGAAGCCAGCCCGAGTAGATGGCCCACAAGGTGGGCGCTAGGCCACAGCCTTGTCTCAGTCCACGAGACAATGAAATGACTTGTTTCTGACCGCAGTGTGTGATGGTGAATTGGGCACAGTGGTGTATCAACATCACTGCCTGGATCAGCGCCGGGGCCACGGCAGCATCCTCCAGTGCCATCCTTAGCGAAGTCCAGGGGACGTGGTCGTAGGCGCACGTGGCGTCCAACGAAAGTTGACACCCCCCAAAGAGACTCAGGCTAGTTCTGCCCTTTCTCTTGCCATGGATGTTGTTGGTGTTGCCCTGGATGAGGCTTCGGACCTGGGCACAATGCCCCAGCGCTCTCTCCAATGCTTGTCCCATGGTGCGTCCTTGGACATAGGCGAACTGAGGTATTTGGGTCAAGTACTGGCATGCCGGGCCCCGGAGTCTGTCTGCCAACACCGTCGCCAAGATCTTGGCCTGCAGCGGGAGTAATGAGATCGGTCTAAGGTGAGCCGGTGATCTGAGTGGTTTCCCCGGCTTGGGGAGTAGTACCATCTCACTGAGGCACCAGGCCTCCGGTAAGGATGTGGCTCCCTCCACAAGGTACAGGTCAAACTGTGTCTTCAAGAGGGGTATCAGTTCGGCCTGGAAGAGCTTCCACAAGGCTGCCGGCGCACAGGTTCCTGGCATTGCCTTTCCGGGTTTCAGGCGCCCAAATGCCTGCTGGATTTCCTCCGTCGTCACCTGAAGTGGACTTGTGAGAGACGGCCGTGGAGAGACCGGGCCAGCGTATAACTGTCGAAAATGCTGCACTATCTGCTGGAACTCGGCCTCGTGGGTTTGCAGGCCCCCGTCGGGCTTGCGCAGTTATAGGCGACGTCTTGGGGCCCTGGGTGCAAATCGTTTTGCAGCTTGATATATGTTATCCGACCGCACGACCTCCGCGACCTTGTCGGTCTTCCGCTGTCGGCATTCTCTGCGAAGGTGCCGATTTTGAACCTGCAACTTGCTCGCAAGGAACCATGCACGAAGAACGGCCGCCGTTCTCTGGGCCACTGGCCTCCAGGACCAAAGTTCATCACCTGCACCTCTGAGTGCTTGGCGTGTCCGCCACATGTCCTGCACTTGGGGCTTGAGCGTCTGGCCAGTTTGGATTGGAGCGTCCGGTCCTCGGGCCCCTGCTTGTAGCCGGGTTTTGGCTGTGCCCCAGCCCTCCAGTAGTGTGCGATCAAGGCTCCATTCTGAGGCTGGTTTGGTCATCTCAGTGCCAATGGCCTGTCGTATACCTTGCTGAAGGGTGTGGGCGAAGTGCTGCTGACGAAGGGCCGCCTGCACCTGACGAGGAGCAACGCGTCGGCTGTGCTCGTGAGGCTTGGGCCTGTTTGGGCTCGGGATGGAAGCTCTCACTGGTAGGTGCCTGCAGCCCGTGGCCGGTACGAAGTCTGCCAGCAAGGGTCCCGCCGATCTGGAAACAGGGTCAGCCACCGTCGTTCTATGAATGACAAAGTCTATCTGGGTCCCGTGCTGGTTGGTGGCATGCGGGGGAACATACGTTCGCGCCAGTTTGCCTCGAGCAGACCAAGTGTTGAGTGCACAGCATCTGTGGGCACGCAGTATCTCCTGGAAGGATGTCTGATCTTGATGGTGTGCTCCTGTCCCTCCCATTGTTCCTTGTCCACATACATGGTCCTCTGGAACCAGGCCTGAATTGAAGTCACCGGCTAACAAACAAGTGCTCCGTTGTGGGATACCCCCAAGCCAGCGGTCAATTTTCTGCCATACTCGGCGCCTCTGACGCACCATCTCTTCGACCCTGTTCTTCCCCTGGAGCTCAGCCTTGGCCGGATTCCAGGCCCACTGGTACACACACATCAGGTCTACCGGGGCCTCAAGGAGAAGGCGTATATGTAGCAGCCGTCCTGGCTCGACGACCTGATACCGTAGGCGATCCGCCGGTATGAGTCCGGCTCTGATAAGGCACAATATGCCATCATGGCCTTTGCCAGCACTGTGCACTGCATGCCATGTCAGAGCCTCCGGCTCGCCCAGGGACGCCTCAAACTCGGTGTCCTCCTTCCATGTCGTCTCCTGGAAGATGCAGATATCGAACGTGTTCCCTTGTTCATGCTCCTGTTGTAGCCAGAGCAAGAGCTCCTTGTACTTGACACTATTTAGTCCACCGGTATTCCAGCTTATAACCTGAAGCCGGGGTTGCTGTCGCCCACAGAGATGGATCTTGGATCGTTCACTCTGAGCTCGCTGGCCTCCCCCAAGTTGGTCCAGGTGTAGGAGTCTGCCTCGATACCATGTGGTGTGAGTTGGGTTGGCTTCAGCGCGGGTAATTGCCCTGAGCAATGCCCTCTTCTTGAAGGAAGGGGGGCGCTGACTATGTCGCCGGTTGGGGTAACTAGCCGCACTTGGCTTCGCCCCGCTGTTAAAAGATTTGAACTGTTGTGAGGCTTCAGAGTCCCTGTAGTGCTCAGCGGACTCTACCCTCGCATCTGTAGCAGCCACGGCATTCGTCATGGTGAAGTAGAACAGTAGCATAATGTAAGCAACTGTGCTGAGTCTGGGTGTCCGGCTGCTACCCTGGGACTTGGGACCCAGGCGGCTTCTTCTTTGTGGAGTCGGCCTTCTGGCCGGGAGCCTGTGACGGGTTGAGCTGGTTTTATGTGATCTTCACATAGAAGGTAGGAGGACACAGACCATGCCATGGCCTCCACGAATGAGTGCACCGCGGTCAGGAGCGCGACGATGCACATCACAAACCTTGTCAGGAGTGCACAGACAAACTCAGGAATGTGGTGAAAGAGATGCAGAGTCTCCCGCCGTATACGCCGGGACGAGGTCATTCCGCACCTGGCCACCCACATTGTAGGCAGGGCTGTACTCATAGTGGCAGGCAACTTAGAGCACGAGGAAGGCAGCGGACCCAGGTCATCTTTTTGAACTGTAGGCCCTTCGGTCTGCCGGTTCCCAAAAGTCGGAGAAAAGCAGTGGGAGTGGCAGTCTGCCCCCGTGTCTGCTATGCTGAGTGTTCCCGGTGCATACACCAGATGTCGTGCCTGGCTTTGCCTGGGCATGCTCCCTGGACGGGCCCTTTCACTCCTCCGTGTCCCGGCCCCGCCTAAGTGAGCAGACGGTGTGGCCCTCGCTCCCCACAGTGCAACCCTCAAGAAGTCGCACAGTAGCCTAGGTTCAATCAGGTAGGCCTCGCACTTTCTCAAGGCACGCGGCTTGGCCTTCGGCTTGGGGCGCCCTGTCGTCTCCATCGTAGTGCTCCTCCTTGCCGGCCACAGCACTGGCTGTGCTGTGGCCGAACTCAGAGTTCTGGAAGTGATTTCCCAGGCCGACCGCTCATCCTCCTCGTTGTCCGGGAGTTCGAGGTCTCTGGCATCATGCAAATTGAGCTCCTCGAGGATCGCGTTCCAGTCCTGGTCCGTCATGGCCCTGTCCATCTCTTCACGGGTGGCTCGAGCCGGTCGGAGGGAGCGATTGGTCCGCCTTTCCATAGTGGTGCCACTGCCGCTAGCAGAGGACGGCACCTCGTCTGCAGACTCCCCGCAGTGGATCAGGTTCGGGTGGAAGCGGTCCGATGCAGGCATTGGTCTGACATGTATTGTCACAGCCTCCAACTCATTCCAGTTCCAGGGGAGATGCGTGACTGCAGGACAGCTCAGGCCAAGGGCATCACATAGAGCAACCGAGGCTGTTTGCGACGGCACCTGCAATGCTTGAATCGGGAGCGGCGGAGGCGGCCCCCGCGGCGGTGAGCCCTCCCTTGGCACGTGCGGTGCCTCGCCCTCGGACTCCACCGAGGCTTCCCTGTCGAGGTCATGCGGCGGTTCCATGTCGATGCCAGGGCCCTTCCAGAACACTCTATCCCTGAAGGGTTGCTGAGTGAACCAGCACATCAAGAGGATGTTGTGTACAGCCATGTCACGTCTAGCTGCAAATGCCATGTAGGAACAGAGCGCCCGCATGCACTTGAGTGTCTGCTGATTCCAATCATGCCAGGCTTGCCTGTAGCCAGTCCAAGGAGGGCTGACCAAGTCATGGCCGTGGATGGGGCGTGGGACTTGCATCCCCGCTCCGAGCAGCACACCTGGCATTGCCACAATCGCCCCCACGGAGATACCCAGGGCCGCGAAGATCAGAAGTGTTCCGGAGGCGCTCATGATCAGGGCCTGGGCTACATCGTTGCTTGCTAGGGTCGGCTGGTTGCGGAGTGCTTTGTAGCCCCCACGGAGTGCTCGGTGGGCGTCCATAGCCTCGAGGATCACAAGGGGCCCGAGGTAGTAGGAGCTGGGGTGTGAGGTTCTAGTCCATGGTATCCAGCCCTGGATCTTGTCGAAGACATACTGCACACAACATAGCCTTGCCAAACTCCAAGTCAAAGCCGCTGATAGCATGCAACACAAGAAGCCTGTCCGGATCCCGAAGTAGACACCACCCTTCTGAAAACATAACGTAAGCTGATGCATGGCGCCACCGCCTGCAACATCGTTGTCGCAGAGCCAGCTGTATGCCGATGCACTGAGCTTGCCAGGTAGACAGAAAGAAGCGCTGTTCAAGGGTTCGTTGCACAAAATCTTCGAGGGGTGTGGCTTCCATGTAGTTCCTGGGCTTTTTGTTGGAGCCGTATTTTGGCATGCCATGGGGAGCCATGGCGGTGCGGCAGCCCTGAACCGTTCGCAAACCCCACTGTGGAGCGCCCTCAAGTCGGAACTCCAAACAAGGCTCCAAAGTAAACCCGCCACAGCCGCCCTCAGCGGCACCACAATCAGTTGCGCCCGGGCCATTAGGCCCTCAGGCTTTCCACAGCTTGAAGCCGAGATGCTTAAAAAAAAAAGCCAGACACATACATGCATACATACCTGCATGCGCACATGCACATATACATACATACATTCATCCATACATACATAGATAGACGCATACATACATGCATACATACATACATACATACATTCATACATATGTTTATGCATACACATACATACACATACGTATACATACACAATACACAGATAGATACATACACACATACATACATGCACGCAGATAAATATTGGCGTAGATACTTAAATGCATGCATGCATAGGTATCTTCATATGGATGTAGAGAGATTTACAAACGAACAGGCAGAAAGGCGTTTATTATGTGTATACACATACACACTCATCTATATCGTACATCCAGAGATATAGGTGGATGATGGATACACAGGGACATGGAGAAGAAAGAGAGAGAGAGGGAGAGAGAGAGAGAGAGAGAGAGAGAGAGCCAGCAGCACCGATCCCGGCGTGATCCCTCCATACACATAGGCCGTCGACATATTCTGAAGCTCCAAGCACAAGCCCTTCATTTGGAGCTCCGCTTGAAACATAAGACTAGGCTTACTAGGTTCTAAGTCCTCCTTGCTCTCACATGTGTCACACACGCCAGACGCAACTGCAAAACCTGAATCTTATGAACCTCTTGAAACCCTAAGCTTGAAACCCTAAATGTCTAAAACTTAGATCGTCCGCCCTAACATGGTCCGAAAACAAAAATCCCAACACAAGTGTCCAAAGTCTAGAGCCGTAAAACCTACGACCCCAAAACCCGTAAAGGCCCCAAATACAGTCATGAAGCGACCGCTGACTTTGAGCACGAAACAACCCTTAAGATCCCAAATCTTATGAGCTCGACTAGAGCCGAAGACGTGACATGCACAGCCTGAACCCTTAACGCTGGAAAGCTCTTGAAAGCCCTCCAGCAACATTTCTGCACCCGGGCGCCCCAAACCAATCCTCTGAGCCCCCCTAAACCCTAAACCCCTAAACCTTAAGCCCCTAACGGCCCAAACATGTACACCCGAAGATCCACCTAAGGTGGAGTCACATGGAGGCTGCGCGAACCTACGGCTCAGACTTCGAGAGTTGCTTGGACAGCGTTCATATGGGAGTTTCCGAAACTTAGGGGTGCTTTTTTTGGGGATCCTTATGATAAGGATCCTACTATTCAGGGTACNNCCCTACTTTCGGAAACCCCCATATAAGCTTTAGGGTTCAGGTTGTCTTTTTCAGCGTTTGATGGGGGCGGATTGTAAAGGGTCTTAGAGGGTTTCGAGGGTTGCATAGGATTTGGTAAAGGCTTTTGGAGGTTTTATCTGCTGATTCTAAAGGACTTTCTTAGGGGTTTGGCGCTTAAGCCCCTCAAAAAGCCTGGCAGAGCTCTAAGAATTTGATTAACCCACCTATACAATCTTTGCTCGCGTACAAGAAACCGAAGCGCCCTGGCCAGGCATGCCGTCCAAGCAGATGTTGCGCGTGCCCTTCGTGACGGGCTCGCAGGACGGTCTAGGATCGTGTATGGCTTTGATACTAGCACAAGTGGTCACAAGTGGTCACAGTACCAGCTTCTCTTCCCAATTTCACTTATCCCCCGAAGCCCTGGTCTCAGCTTTGAGGGCCATCTTGAAGGTTAAGCCGATTTGTACGAACGACAAAGACAGCCTGCTCGTATGTGCATCATTCATCGTCTTGAAGGGCTTGCACGGTCTTGGTCTCATCTCAGAGCCTTTGACTTTGGGTTCCTTAGGGTTCCCTATCGCATGTACTCAAACATACCCGAAGACCCTGTTCTAATTATGAAGTATATGAGGCAAAGCGCTGTTGGTGAAGGTCGCCAGTTCTCCGTTAATATGATGCTGACCATGGTCATTGTTACCCATCGGAACTGATTTTCTTCGTAGTTTGTCTTCCTATTGCTGCTATAGCTGTTGCATTCCGATTCTTCGTAGAACAATCGCAGGTAAACAGCTTAGACCATTGCCGTGGCTATTTCGCCGATCAGTAAATCCAGACCCCTACACCCTAAACTATGAGCCAGAACTCTAAACCCAAAACCCTCCCCTCCAAAACCTATCTAACAACTCCATGAGCCCCTTACCCCTAAACCCCTAAACCTC